ATTCATTTCAATTTTTTTTTTAATTTTAAAAAATGCGGTGAGCATTACCGGGGAGCACAGGTCGAAATCACCAAAATCGACTATCGCGTGTTTACTATATAATAATAATACTATTTTTCAATTTATATATTATTTAAATTTGAACTTTTTATGGCTTACAAAATTTCAACTTTTAGAAAATAGCTAAATATTATTTTGTGAAATAAGTTGAAATATTAAATGAGATTTCTAACAATAAAAATAAAAACAAGAAAATAAAATATTTTTGTTAGAAAACCTTATCTTTGTTGAATGAGGACTAGGACATTGAATTCTATTCAATATATTAAAGGCCATAAAAATAAAAATAATTTTTTTTTTAAATAATTGACAAAGTCAAAAGCAAGAACTAAGGTCCCTTCAAAGGATTGAAAAGTTTTTTTTTTTTTTTTTTTTTTGGATGATCAAAAAGCCTTTTCCAATAATAATAATAATTATAATAATATCATTATTGTTTTAAAACAAATGTATATGGGAGGTGGAGCAGTTGAAGAGAATTCAACCTTGATTAAATAAATTAAAATTTAATAAAATACCCTTTTTGACAACTCATAAGATCTATAATAGATATTATGAAATAACTAACGTGAAATGGTTTATATTAATTTATAATAATTAGTTAGAAATTGGGAAAAACAAACAAAATTGCACTTTTGTAAATAAAGTAAATAATTATTAGTAGGTGAAGGGCGTGACTCATTTTTAATTTGAAAATGGGTAAATTTTTAAATGTATTTAATAAAAAAAATAGAATAATAGAATTAGTGGATTAGGGTTTCGTGGGAGAGAGAGAAGATAAAGGTGGTGGGGACACCGAAAATATAAATGAGAAAAGCTGCGTATTGGACTCATCTTCACCCCCTCACTTTCTTTCTTTCATTAATTAATTTATTAAAAAAAAAAAAAAAAGCATATAAAAGACAACTCCCTACTTTTTCATCTATTTAATGCTCTCTCTCTCTCTCTCTCTCTCTCATCATAATTATTTTATATTATATTATTATATAAAATGCAAGTAAAAATGAATGTAAATAGCTTATTTGAAGATGGTCTTTAATATTATGTTGATTACGTGGATATCTTCAACAAAAATATCATTTTCAATGACAACTTTGGAAACATGTTAAAATTTATTTTTTTAGCAGTAAAATTATATTCCATGGCTCACAACCTGCCGACATTTTTAAAACCAAAACTTAAAAAAAAAAAATGCATCTTCATTCCCTTTCTTCATATTTATTTATATTAATTCATTCTACTAATAAATTAGTTCAATCAAATTTAGATCGAGTTTAAACTGGACTTGAGTCGGCCTTTAAACTTGAAGTCGGCTCAAGTCCGTTCACCTCATTTAATAATATAAAAACAAGACATTAGTTGTCAATAAAAGTGGCTATACAACGTAATGACTCAATAATTTATACAAACTAGAAATATTTTACCGAGGATTAGAAAAACTCATATGCATTAAATTTTATTTTTTGAATAAAAGAATTCCTTTAAATGTATTTATTTTATCTCTATAGTTTTTTTAAAAAAGGAAATTAACTTTAAAAAATAAATAAATAAAAGAATTTCGAAAGGGGTGTTAATAGCAAAGACAGGCAGTCTCAAAGTTGGTCGTGCCAACCTAGGCAGCATGCTTAAACCCTTCAAATGATGTTAATTAAAAAAACCTTAGATGTCTCCATACATTCGGCCTTAGGCGGCCTCAAGTACCCTAAATTATTGGAGGTAGGGACAAACCAAGTTATATATATTAGTAAGATTTTAATATATAGAAATTAAATAGATATGACTTGTGACGTTTTTGAAGCCTATCAATTCAAGCATGGTTTAGAGATCGAGTTTAACCGCCCAAACCGACCGTTAACAAATATTGTCCTTTTTGAGCTTCCTTCCAAAGTTTTTAAAACGCGATGGTTAGGAAGAAATTTCCACACCCTTAAGATGATTCGTTCTCCTCCCCAACCGATGTGATGTGAGATTCCACATCAATTAGAGAGAGGAGTGAGTGCTAGTGAGGACACTCGCTAGGCCTTGAAAGAGGTAAATTGTGAGATCCCGCATCAATTGGAGAGAGGAACAAGTGTCAACAAGGACATTGGACTTTGAAAGGAAGTGGATTGTAAGATCTCATGTCGATTAGGGAGGACAACAAAGCATCTTTTACAAGAATGTGGAAACTTCTCCCTACGTTTTAAAAAAGGAAACAAAAAAAAAAAATATATCCACTCGAGCTGGAGTTGGGCTTAAAAACTTTGATCAAACTTCATAATTTCATAAAATATTTGACATAATTATGTAAAATATTTGAAGAGAGACATTTATAGTAGTCAGCTTTTGTTGTTGTTTACTTCTCAACAACCTCCTCCCCTCCCTCCCTCTCCTCCCTATATTTATAGGCACAAACAAAATGGCCTAAGCGCAGCACTCCTCCTCCTCCTCCTCTTCTTCTTCTTCTTTTCTCCCCCTAATTAGTCTCTCCCTTTCCACCATGGTTGTGATGCTCCAAACTGGGTTCTCAACGGCAGTAAACGCCAAGATCATAGGCTCAGGCAGCGAAGTCATGGTTTTGGCTCATGGGTTCGGAGGCAACCAGTCATTGTGGGACAAAATCCTTCCCAAACTCACTCACCACTACCGGGTGCTCCTCTTCGACTGGACCTTTGCCGGTTCCATTAAAGATCCCAACTTGTTTGATCCCCACAAGTACTCCTCCTATTCTGGCTTTGCTGAAGACCTCATCAAAATCCTTGATGAACTTGGCCTCACCTCCACCATCTTCCTCGGCCACTCCATGTCTGGCCTCATTGGATGCGTTGCTTACACTAAAAGACCTGACCTTTTTCAGAGGCTCGTTCTTCTCTGTTCTTCTCCTAGGTAATTTTTTTTTTTTTTTTTTTTTTTTTTTAAA